AACTCCCAGAGTTCCTCAGCCAGCAAAGCTGGCTGAGGAACTCTGGGAGTTGAAGTCCACAGGTCTTAAAGTGGCCAAGGTTGGAGACCACTGTTCTACTGGTAGTTCCAACTATCTGGAGGAAGACAGTTCATTACCTGCATCATCGTAACCACGTGGCACGGGTTCAACAAGTAGATGACCGTCCTGGTGGCAAATTTGAATCCCACTTCAAGTCCAAAGGTCAGGCAGAAGGTCACCAGCAAAAGGTTTTTGCCCCAACTTTCCTCCTTGACTCGGGACTGAGCCAAGAGCTCAGCAGCTTCCTGGGTCATGGACCTCCTGATCTTCCGCAAAGAGACCAGGATCTCCAGCACTCCCACCGCGGTGAAGACCAGGCTCTCCAGCAGACGCTGCTCCCAAGGGAGGAAGGCAGCGCACTCGTGGCCCCCGTTGCCTTCGAAGCTGGGGTCCACCCCGCCATACATCCAGTCCATCAGGTTGGAGAAGCTGTAGCGGCTCATGGTCCCTCCCGAGCTGGGAGGCAGCAGGGGCGAGTTAGAGAAGCTCAAAGCCAGGACACCGTTCAGGGGGCGAACCATCAAACAGTCAGGATGCCTTCCTCCACAGACTGCCTGGCCCCTTTGGGGACCCAGGAGAGGCGGAGAGGGCACTGAGAAGACCCCAAGAGCAGAACCTGGTAAGGAAAGAAGCAAAAACACAACTAAGCCAATGAGCCTTCCTTGATCTCCTGCCCCACAGCTGGCTAACACCACTTTGGCCAGTTTGCAACGGCCTGGACGACCCCTCCCCTCGCTCCCCCCCCCCAAATCCCAGGCCATGCAAGCACCACAAGAACCCCACTAAGGCAGGCTCACCCCCAGCCAGCCAGCTCACAGAAGCAGCTGTCCAAACTCTCTGGCTGATGAAGTGACTGGGGCGGAGTCTGCCTTTGCACGTCGCCCCTGCGAGGGAGGACACTTGGGGAGGGCGGGGGGAAAAAGGAGGAGAGGAAAAAACCACCTGTGTCCCTGCCATATCTGCGGGAGGGACGGGACAAGGAAGGTCTTCCCCAACTCTCCCTCTCTGGAGGGGAGGGGAAGTGGGGGAGGGAGGGAGCCCCCTGCCCAGGCTCGCCCTCCCTCCCTCCCTCCCTCCCT